TTGAGATTAATTGCATCTATTGGATTAGAGGATGATGATGAGATTGTAGAAATTCATTCAAGAAAGGTTTATTCTATACTTGAATCTTTTTAATGATCAAAAGTTATTACAGAGACCAAAAAAAGAGACTATGATGCTACAACAAGTAATAGAACATATAGAAGAGCAATAAAATTTATTACAAGGATTTTATAATAATTTATAGGCATGACATAAGAAAATTTAAGTTACTATTGCTAAACTTAAAGAATAATATTGGTAAAAAAATATGTATCAAGATGTACTTTATTTATAGAATCACATAAAATTTGTCAAATATATTCTAATATATCACATTGAGATGATCTACATCAATCATATCTTTTAGCTACTTATTTTTAGTATGTTATTGATTTAGTTATTATGACAAGTGAATTATGCCAAATGAGATATTTGATCTTAGTTTGTGAAGATTTATCAAATCTTATAGAAGAAATAAATCTTTTAAGACAACAAGATGATTTTGACTTAGATAGCAAAAATGATAAAAAAAAATTGAATAAAGATGTAGAAAATATAATATGAATCAAACAAGATTTGGATTATTTAGTGCATAGTTTAGAAAGAATAGATATTGTATAGTAACATGATTATATAGTGAAAAATAAAAATATGAATATTATTATATAAGAGCCTAATAAAAAGATGTAATAGAAAAATAAGGATAAATAATAGAGGGGTAGTAAAACATTTAGTCTTAATGCTAATTTTTGTAGAAGAATCTTCTATTTACTTTGTAGAAGCATAAATGAGCCAAATCAAAATAAACAAGATAAGAAATTGATATAAATATATTTAAGAAAAAATTAATAATATATTATTTTAAAATTTATTTTAAATTATTAAATATTAACATCTAAAGAAGATTCATTATCAACTTAGATCAAAATCAGATCCTAAGGTACAAAATTACATACAAATAGCAATTCTAAGATTCTTTTCTAAATCAAAGAGTGAGATTTGAGTGCAAACTTGAAGAGAGATTCTTAAGTATTGATTTCATGTCATTTGGATTAATATTGAGATTTTGAAGGATTTTTTTTTTAAATGATGTATTTGGTGGATTTAGATTTTGAAAAATAAAAACAAGTTTACAAATTTTAAGATTTTGTGAGTTTTATAGTATATTTATAGATGAAAGTTAGAAATTTTATTATTGTGCTTGTTATAAATGTGTGTAAAAAATTTTAAATCAATTAAGTGACTAGATTGAAGAATATGAGGATTTTTGTGGCTTTTGGTCTTGAATGATTGAGATTCAAGGTCAATGAAGGAATTTGCAATCTGACAATATCTATTAGGTTGATTGAAGTAAAAATTGGTGAGAGTAATTTAAACTAAAATATCTACATACAATCCAATGTCAAGGTCATGGACTGGAAGAAGATGCATAAACTTGAAAAACCTATGTTAAAAGAAAAGTGAAAAAATAACAATAAAATAGTATGTATATTAAAAAGAAATTAGAATGGCTATTGCCAAAAGACAAGGAAATTAGAGACTCTTAAATCTAGACTAAAAGTAAGAAAAGAATTGACAAGAGTGAAGAAGGCTTCACTCTTGCCTCTATATATACTATCTAACTAGGAGTTATGTAGTAATGTTCTATAGGACCTCTAATATGAGTTGACTTTGTAGGACATATGTTTTAACTTATAAGGTAAGTTTTTTATGTGTGGACCACATAGTTAGCTTGTTCTTCAAGCTACCAACATTTGTGGTACATGGCCAACTTATTGACTATGTTTCTAACCTAAAAAGTCCATTAAAGACACCTATAAAGTCAAAACAGCGTCTATGAAGCTTCTAGAAAGCTTCTATAGAAGATATTATAGAATTAAACTACTTTTATCTACTATTATTTAAATCATATAGGTAATTATTAGTTTGCATGTGTATGTCCTTGATACCCAAATTGTCGAACAATTGAACAATTTAATAAGAAAAATCCATATTGAAAGATCAATATTCAAGTCAAAGAAAGAAGGCAAGCAACAATTAAGAGATTTTGGGAGCTTTACTTGCTATTGGTATGTGTGATCTTTCTCAAATGTTTTGTGATTGTTATTTACTTAATTTTTGTAAGCTGTGCAAATTTTGAGTCAAAATCAATACTTCAATTATTAGTTATTGAATTTTTAATCTATTGTAGAATTATTAAGATATGTTTAAGATTTAAATTTTAATCAAAGATTGAATAGGATTGGTTTAGATTTTAGGATTTTATTAGGGTTTTATTAGGATTTAATATTTTTTTAGAATTAAATTAGGATTTAGGATTTTATTAGGATTTTATTAGGATTTGACCTGGATTTGATTAAGATTCACTAGGATTTCAATTAGGACTTTAATTAAGGCTTGACTTAGAATTTGATTAAAATTCATCAAGATTTTAATTAGGATTAAATTAAGATTTGACCTAAGATTTATTTAGGATTTATTTAAGATTTCTATTTTTAGTATTTCTATAGGATTCTTTATTTTTTCTTTTAAATTTTCTATTTCTGATATTTTTTTAAGATCATTGTTATTTATTTGAAGGTTTATTTTAAAAAAAAATCTTTGATATTTTTTTTAGATTAATTTAGAACCTCTTTGTGTTTCTTTTGCAACTTCTTCTAAATTTATTTTAGATTGATCAAAGTTTAATTAGGGTTATTAAAGATTACTTAAAGTTTCTTTAAGATTCTATTAGACTTCATAGGATTGTTGTTGCATTTCTACTTACCTTCTATAACTATGTATCTAGTGCATTATCAAATAAGAACACATGTAATATGACACTGAGTTCTTCCAAAGAGACTCTTTTCCTTGAGAATGGCTAAAAACCTCCCTCCTCCCTCCTAAGATGCTTCTACCTGCATTTATAACTTTGATCATAAATATTGATTCCATTGTTAATAGAATTGTTAAGTATCTTTGGATCATGATTTATAAATGCCCTTTGTTTATTGCATACATTTGTTCAAGTATATTATTTTTCAATCCATTATGTATGTCATTCTATAATCACAATAATATTCTTCTTTTTCTCAATGTTTTTCTTATGTTGTAAGCCTGAATCAAAACATTCTATACTTTCTATAGATTTTGAGGATTTAGAAATTTCTATATTCTTTATGAAGTTATTACATAAAACAACATGAATAAATATAACATAAAAATCTAATGCATAATATTCTTTCATTGTCCACAAGGATCAAATATCACATTGTTTATTTGATTTGATTTTAAAATTTTTAATTAAAATCTTAAAAAATTATAAATTTTGAAATGACTGATTGTTTTCTTCTAAGAATGTTGCAAGCATATAATTCTTTCTAGCTACTTTCAAGTTAGTATTATAAAAACAAAATTTTTTTTAAAAAATAAAAGCATTTAGATTTTTACTTTTAATATTTAATTATTAAAATTTTATTTTTTTAATATTTGGTGATAAATATATATATATATATATATATATATATATATATATACATATATATTTCAAGTTTAGATAGATATTTTATTTCAAATAGAAAATATTTCTAATCCATAAATTTTAAATCTATATAATTTTTAGTTTTAGATTAAAAATAAATTAATAAATCATAAATTTATAAATATATATATATTTTTTATTTATTTATTTATTTATTTATTTATTTATTAAATATAATAAACTTAGAATATATTACATATAATGATTGTTAATTCTTTAAATACCTTCATATTTATATAAAATTAATTATCTTATATTTTTAAATAAAACATTTTTAAAAGCTTTTGCTATAGAAGAGCAAAACATGTATCAATCTCATTTTTATATGTATTAATTTGTATGCTGAATGTATGTATGTCTTTTGGTTTGGAATAAATTTGTATTATAATATAATTGTATAATGTTGTATTTTTATCATGAATCTCTTATTTAAAGAATGTCACAGTATCAAAAACAAAAACAAAAACAAAAACAAAAAAAACAACAACAACAATAACAACAACAACAACAACAACAACCATCTTCAAGTGATATTTAAGGTATGTAGAATGTTGGCAAAACAAACTATAAGAATAAATAGTTTACACTTTCTTTACTTTAGAATACCAAAAAATAACTTGTTTGGAGTTAATAGCAAGAAACTATTATGTGAAAATAAATCCAACTATACAAAGTAAAATAATTAAAATATGCTTTTTATGAATCTTAAATATTATATATATATATATATATATATATATATAATTATATATATTACATAAATTAAATATAATATTTTAGATTGCTATAATATTTTAAGAAAAAAATTATTGTTATATTTAGAATAGCAAATAAATAATAATAATCATTTGAGTTTTGTGGAATAGATCAAGCATAGATAGATAGAAAATAGTTTTCTTAAATAGAAGGTTCTTGGTCATTCTTTCTTGATTCTAGTATGATAGTATTTTTTCTCTTCTATCCTCTATAATTATTTTTTGGAACTTTTTTAAATTGATCAGTTTGTTTCCTTACCTAGTTATAGTTTTGAATAGAATGTTTAATCTTAAGATCTCTTTTTAATTTATACTTTAACTTTAAATCAATGTCATCCAAGTTTTATTAAATTTCTGTAAGTAAATTTTGATTATTAGTTACTAATATTGTTAGAAGATCTTGGATTTCCTTCATTTTGTCTCATAATATTTAAATTTGTTCAACGTAGAGGCTTGTAAAGTCGGTTTTTTCATAAGCTTGGAATTATTACATTCGGAATCGGGATAAACTTCTCACAATAGTTCAAGTGAAGAGTAGTCCTTTCTTTTTTAGATTTCTCTCCTGAACAGCGCTGAAGGTGCTCGACTTGGTAACTGGACTGGACACAGCAAAAGCACTGAGATACAACTAACATTCCATTACTGCTCACAATCCCAAAGCCTTATTACCAGTAGCTTGAAGCAAACAAGCTGTAAAAATGACTAGACCCACAAGTTTGACATCGTTTACTATCACCGTGTTTGCAACTTTGTTTAAATGGTTTGCCCTTTCGGCAGTTTGTTTGCCAACTCCACTACGAGTGTACATGAACCCTCGGTGCTAGCACATTGAGATAATTTTCATCATTTTACATATTCAAACGCCTCTAAAAGAATCAATTTTTTTAGAAAATAAACACATCGAGTCCATTAAAGAACCAAGTGCTTGCCTAGGTGACCCAGTAAGGCTAAGTCTGTGCTTCCACAGGCTTTGCCTTGAAGAGACGATGATCAAAAGTTCCTTAAGTACAATTCTCAGTTTTCCAGTCAATATAAACTCAGCTCTCAACGTTCACCGTTTACACGAACGTCAACTCATTTAGGGACGCCTCTACTTCTGTCTTGTCCACTTTCTGTCGCAGGTCGTGAAGAAATTGACCTGCTTCGTTGATGCGAGCAGAGGTCTGTCGTCCTGACAGAGTCGCTCCCTCCATGCTGTCAATGTAATCCTGTTCCAGCATTTTCACACCTCAATGAGAAACATTATTTCTCTTAACAGAACATCTAGCGGTTGAAATGGTATGGTCAATTTTCCAGATACGTGGCAAAGAAAATTGGACATGTCCTGCGGAGCAAATACGTAAGATGAGATTCGTACATTCAACACAAATACTCTACTAACGCGTATGAAAAATCTTCTTTACAATATTAGGTGAGTAGTAGCGTACCTGCTTGGTGTAGGACCCTGAAAGGAAGAAGTTGGAGACGGGAGTCTTCTGGTCAGGTCGGAACACGTCCATGCCTGGTGCTTCACGGTACAATGACTGCCCTATCTTCACCACTGATGACCATGTCATTTCAAGGCCATTGGCCGAGGGGAAGAGACGCAGAACCTAAACAATCAAGTAACCCGTGTTAGTAAAGCAGTACAGCTGTCTATGTACATCAAGTTGGTCATAAGACAACCAAATAAACTTAAAAAGCTCCCAAACCAATGTGGAAAATTAAGAGTCTCACAAAGACTGTCATACTCCTCTGTTCACGACATTTTTTGCACGAAATCAATTCGCCTACAAAGTATTAGAAATCATCATATAGGTTAGGAAGAAGATGGACCTGTTCATGGACGGCCTTCACCACCTTTTCATTTGGCAAGGGCATATATGGATCTCCGGGAGTCAAAACCGCTCTGCTCATACACAAATGTACCCATTATTACGTAACTCCTATGCGCATGACATACAAACTGAACCCAAACAAAGACTAACGATTCACAATTTGCATGGGAATAAAGACCGGGATAACTTACTGAATAAGAGAGCCTTCTCCTTCTTTGTAGTAGTCCTCAGGTGAAGTCAATGCTAGATCCGCGAAACACGAGAAATCAGCGTCAGCTGAATACAGCAGATTATCCACCCCAGCAGCTCGTTGCAGCTGCCTGCGTCACCTCACACCAAAAGAACAATCAAACCTAGTCAGGGTGGCAGTGATTACCATTGTTGACACTAAAAGCCCATGTCTAGAGCTCACGCACAAGTTACTATGACGAATCGCTAAATTACGGCGTCCAGATACAGAATCTTAAAATTGTCTCACACATGAAATTCTACCCTGCCAATCAAAATACCTTGAAGATTCCAAATCCTGCATTTCAGTAACCCAACCATTAAATCGCAGCTGCACTGTCACCACGGGAACTCCTGAAAGCTTGTAGATGTTTTCGAAAAACTCCCACTCACGCCAAGGCTGTGGCAATAGTCTATGAATTCCTGGCACGTCACAAGCTGCGTGCGACAAAAAAATAAAACAATTAGATTTGAGAGCCCACAACCGCACGAGATCATCATCCTACCAGATGGTCTCTAAAACGGGCCTAAGAGGGATCTGACAGGTATTCACCTGCCACGTATGCATCTGCCTTGACGATCTGCTTCTCAGTTGCCTTTGTCATAACTAACCCAGTCACATAAGTCTCCCCTTCAGGAGTGCGATCATAAAGGACCTCCCGACAGCCCCATCTTAAGTGAAACCTGCCACCTTTCTCCTTGATGTACTTAGCAATGGGTCCATTCAAGCGCTCGTCAGGAGAACCACTGAGCATTCGTAACACTGAAGCCTCGGTTTTGGTTGCAAAGAAGGCAAAGATGGTAAGCATGCACCGGGCGCTGATGTTGTCACAGTCAATAAAGCCCAAAGCGTAGGCTACAGGGTCCCACATCCTCTTGATACTCATGCGAGTTCCGCCATGAGAAATGAACCAATCAGAGAAACTCACCTGTTCATTTGCCACGATACTTCAGTGCCTCAGAGCGCTATAATTGAGAGATTACAACAAAATAATGAAGATTGTATGAACACCCAAAATATGAACTTAAATATCTTTGCCGCTTCATTCTGAATAAGTACGAATCGTGAATGTGTACAGGTGCTCATAGTTTTTCAATGTCAAGAACCTTCTTCTATCTGGCATTCCTATGTTTCTTACAAAGGAGCACATTTACAATCGAAAGAACCAATTTAGAAGAATCTACAAAGCTGCATAAAATCATTGTTACCTTATCCAAGTCCCGGATATCACGCATAGCCCCCTCAGGATCGACCAACGCTCGCACAACTGGACTAGTTGCCAATGCCACTGCGTTCGCCGCCTTGTCAAAAGGCTGTAAAATGCAATGTACCATTCAACTGTGTGTCAGACATTTGGATGGAACTTTACCACACTGGATCAAATAGACATGAATTTCAATAAATTAAAATTGTGGCCAAAAAAGCTAAGCCATTAGGTTTCGTGCATGAGAAACTCGACTTACTTCAAGCTGATTTGTGGTGACAAACGCTTTTATGCCGTGCAGAGGTGCTCCCACTGGAAATCTGAAGTCCAACTCTGCGGAAGAGCGCCACTAATGGCGTGTGAGGAGTTACCAAGTCACACACGACGCAACACTAGAAGAGTCTATATACCATCCTGAAAACAAGGGTTGCATTGAACTGCTAAATGTTTTTTGCTTTGAAAATTTCTAATACAATATCGCAAATAAACTAGCACAGTGTTTATAGCTTATTGCATATCCTTGTGTAGGCAGGCTTGGTTAATTGGGAAGGGCATGTAGCTCAACATGCTTACAGGGTAAACCTTGCATGATTCCTTAAGTAAAGGAATTGACCAGACATTTCCTTATATCAAACTGCATATTAAGAAAAAGATTGACAGAGGAATAACTAACCTCCAACGTTGCCGCCTTTGTTAATAAAAGTGTGAGTGTGATCCTTGAGTAGTAAATTATTGTCTGCCCCCACCTGTAACGGTTCGAACCAACAAAAACCATTTGAAGTTGAAAGCTTGAGAGTCTAAGGCGGAACGGAAAGTCTATACAATGCATCTAAAAAATATGGTCTACACGAACTCTCAAAAGCCAGAGAATTATAGAGGAGCCGCATTACAAACACCTAACTTCATCGGATAGAGATCGCCAGCAAAAAAAATTATTAGAGCATGAAAAGCAACTTTGCGCGAGAGAGAACGTGCATGAGGTGAAAGTACCTTAGCTAGGAGGCGAAACAGATTGTTGTAGCACCCGAAAAAGACATGTAAACCCATCTCGATATGGTTTCCATCCTTATCTTTAAAGGACCCCACTTTACCACCAATGAACTTTCGCGACTCATAGATATCCACCTGCGCACAAATCACACCAATTCTCAACTCCCCAACACAGTAAGAAAACCAAAAAAAAAAAAAAAAAAAAAAAAAAAAAAACGTTAAAAACTCGCAAACAGTACAAAGGTGATGGTCGTTGCTATTCAAAAACCAAAAAGAATGGCATCAAAAACAATTACAGAAAATTCACGCAGAGAGAAGAATCACCTCGTGGCCTTGCTCGAGAAGCTCAACAGCGGTGGACATGCCCGCAAGACCAGCGCCAATAATGGCGACCTTGAGCTTGGGCCCCTTGTAAGCCTCGGGCTCGGGAGGGAACAGACCTTTCGGTGCTGAAACCCAAAAACCAAGCACATCCAAAACTCAATGAAAAAATTCCAACACCAAACCAAAACTATAATGCTCAAAATGTGACGCAGTTCATGCTCCAAGCTCCCATTCATGAGAGACAGAAACAGAATTAGAACACATTCAATTCGGCCACCCCATTGCACACCTTTCCTGCTCATGTCCGACACCATGCTTTGCAAGCTGGCTGTGACGCGCACACTCCCTGTCCGTCTGCTGCTGGCATCCTTTCGGTCCACAACTGCAAAACATGGCGCTGGAATCGATCCCTTCACATGACTCGACGACGAGGAAGCCAACGACAGTGAAGCCACCCCTGCACACCTCCCCGCCTGCACCACCAACCCCGCCATAGCTACCAAAATATTTGCAACCTGAGCTTCAAAACCCCCTTCTCTCAAACTCGCACGCACGCACACACTAACCCACAATCCCAAACCTCTTGAACACAATTCCAATTCAGTGCTGTTGCACCGCGACCACCGAATTGAAAGACAACCCCGCACTGCTCTGGAAACACAAGCCTGAAGGCGATTAGGATGGATGAATAAACTGGATCACGTTCATCTTAATGGATGACTTCCGCTCTCCCGAAGATGAGACCTATCGTGACGTGGACGTATCGTATCCGGATATAGTCCGGGTGTCAATCTCACCATCCCCCTCACACTCCCTACCACGGGGTGGATGAATGAGACGGATGATACATTATTTTGAGCGACAATATTCTGTTCGATGTGGATGTTAACGACGTCCTCTTTTTACCAAAGTCTCGTGGATGTGGGAAAAAGTGAGGGTTTTGTCTTTAAAAAAGGAAGAGATGCAATGAATATGGATTTCTTTTAATAGGTTCCCCGATGTGCCCACATATGGATTTTAAAAGAAATCTATATTTTGCCAAATATATATACACATCCATATTCATTGCATTGTTGTATGGAAATTTTAGTTGGTGGTAACATTATTTTGCCAATGTTTACTCTCTTCATTAAAGGATTTTTCACTATTTTGTGCATCGAAATTTTAAGACGTTGATTTAATCTTTGACAAGTTCAATTCTCTCTCTTTGTTTTTATATATATATATACATACGTTAAGAATACATATATATTTTATTTTTTCGCATAAAGCATCAGCTGATTATCATAAAAAGATGAATAAAAAAAACTTTGCTTTGAGAAGAAGTAGGTTTATAATCCTCTTTAAAAAAGAAAAACCCGTGTTTTTGATGTATTACATTCCTTACAAGCCACCACACTAAAGGTACCAAGTTTGCTAACAATAACAGAATGCATAAATTGTATTTAATAATATTACCTATAAATACTTTTATTTTATTTTATTGAGCTGTATTTTATGAGAAAATAAAGTATTAAGAATGATTGTTTAAAGATCCTGTTCCACATCGCTCTATTGGGATGAAAGTATTCCAATAAATTGGTTTTTCTCAAGTTGTTATAGTTTGTGTGTTTGTTTGTTTGTTTGTTTCGTGTTTTTTGTATTTTTTTTGTATTTTTTGTTGTTTTTCCAGCACAAAAACAAAGTTTACTTGGGTGATACGATACAGTGTAATTCTTTTTTATTTTTTGAAACAATATCTATTTTATTCAATTTGTTGTTTTTTTTAAAAAAATTGACCTTATTAACCTTTCTAATAACATTCTTTTTTGAGCATTTTAAAGATCGATATGATATGTTCTGAATGTATAAATTGTGTACAATTTAAATGAAAATAAACATACATAAGTCTTATTATTGAGTTTGATTGTGGAAAAAAAAAAAAACAAAACAAAACAAAACAAAACAAAGAAGAAGAAGAAGAAGAAGAAGAAGGATAACATCAAGAATGAAAATATTTCATGTAAAGATTTCACATGAAAAGGATTTATAATGAATTTGTTTCATGATAAGAAATACTTTTATGAGCTAAGATTTCACTTCTGGCTTGTAAATTTTGAATGCTTTTGCAATATTTTGATATCTTCAGATTTTTAAAAATAACGAATAAAAAAAATGCTATGCTATTTCTGCAATATATTTAATTTAAACATTCTAAACATACACTAGAACAAAAGCGACCATTTTACGTTAAGTACGATTCATTGTGATTTGGGTTAGTGTATTGTAATAAAAAGATGAAGTATTTAAATACAACTTCTATACTTAATCAATCACTAGAAAAAAAATTGTTTTACTTGAAATTCCACACTACTCAAAGTGACTTCGTCTAACTTTTTTCTGAAACAAATTACGGAACCTCAAAATACTATGAACGAAATATCTAGATCCGGAAAGCCTAATTCACACCGCCACAATCGAGTCGGCACAGTAAAGAGAGCTCAATCGCGACGAGCCTCGCAAACTCACTTCTCTCAATCGATTGACGCGGAATTTGTTTTTGTTTTTTGTTTTGTTTTTTCCGTTTCGAGGGCGATTGAAGCACGATTTGCGCCTCTGATCGACCTCGCCGTGCAGTGTATCAAGTTACGATCATTTCGAACTCCGCGGCTGTGGTTTTTTTGGATCAGATTGTGGACTGGACCATATTAGGGCTGCCGGATTTCCCCTGTTTTTGTTGTGGTCTGCACTTCTTCTGCGCTGTAGCGTTTGAGGACTCTGGTTTTTGTATGAAGAAAGAAGTTAACTATGAAAAATTCTCATATTATCAAACACAGAAGATGAGATTCGCGTAAATTGATTGCGTACATTCCAATTGGATAAAGTCTAATTGACTGAGAAGAGGTGGAAGAAAATTTCGATGAAGAAAAGATGTGACAGATTGAGTAGAGCGTTCTACAAATGCTCTGGATATTGTTACGTAGCTTACACTACCGTCTCTAGATGAACGAGTGTAAGGTGTTTGTAAGAATTTGTAACTCGTGCAAGACTCATGCTTGTGGAAGTCTCCCAAATTGGTTTAACATGCATGTTTATTTGATGATGGAGCTCTTGGTTTGGTTCCTGGTTACTTAGTGTGATTGAATGCATTACAGTGAGCTAGCCATCCGAATACGAGCTGTTGTATTAGAATCAAATCCAATTTATTGTATACGACGCGTTGTAGTGGAGATATTGATATCGTTTTGTTTGTGATGGTGGTTTAGATCACTGGTGGAAGTGAAATCAACCTCTATGCCGCCCTATAATGCAGCTGGTACTGCAGCATCTAGGCAGCCTGCAGTGTCAATGGTTTCTCTTGCCCAGCAAGCTTATGAGAGCCTGTGCTTCGACTTTCCAGTAAGTGCTGCTTCCATATTTGTGATGTGCTAATCCCATTCACGAGGTTACACCCCTTTGATGTTGTTTTCCTGGCCTTGCTTTCGATGGAATGATTCTCACCGAGAATGTAAGCCCTTCTCAGGTTTATTGAGTTGTGATCATTTTACCGGATTATGTCGAACTTGTGAAACAAACTATGTAGAAGCTAACTAGTAATTTGTGTGAGCAGGTTGTGGAGACACCTGTATTGGCTGCCCTTGCCAGTTCCTTCAGGTGTATAATTGATCTAGACTATTGACGTCTTAACTCTACCATTTATCTTGATGCATCGACCTATTTGAAATGATACTGAACATTTTGCGATGATATGAGAGTTAAAATCCTCCTGGGGTACTCAATACCTGTTGGCTAACACTATCAAATGACCTGTGCAGAACAAACTTATCTGGGGATGGCAGACTTCAATTCCCAATTACTTCACGTTTTGTATCTGGTCTCCAGTAAGTAATATTTGTGCAGTTCCTATTCAGGCTCTTATCGTCTTCGAAGTCGTGGATAATAACTGAACCCTACTATTATGGTTATGGCCAGTTGCCACACTATCGCTCTCAGTGTTAATGGTGTCTGCTAAATTTGTTCCTGGATAATTAGTATCTTCATAGTGTTTGCAGCTTCAAATGCAATAAGGTGTATAAGGTGTGAACCTATGTACATGAACACCATGACGTTGTATATAAGGTGTGAACGTTCACTGATGAACATACCTTTGGCTCTGCTTATAGGTACCTTGCGGAGACGCATTTTGAAAAAGAAAAGTCTGCTCAAGGAGATGTTGATTCCAGGAGCAGTCATTTGGTGACTCTTTGTGGTAGGAAAATTCATGGAATCTCAGTATTTTGATTCCTGTGATGCCTGGTTCAAAGTGCTGGAATTTAGTCCCTGTTAATCATTTATAAATTTATGGAAATTTAATAATGATGTGTAGGTGAATGGCAGCGCCTCGAAGAGCTTATGTGGTCAATATTCTGGCTTTGAAATGTAGAGCTAGTTAGATATGAAGAAGCCCTTTTGGGAACGCAATACATCTTATGTATTGTCTTCTAGATACATTTGCGCTGAGATAAACTGCAAATGCATTCTTATTACTCTCTACTATATAATAGCTCTGATAATGTTTCCCTAGAGCAGCAGAGGACTAATTGGAAAGGATTAATGCATTTTAATCTCACTACCTTATGAGTTTCTCAGGTTGTGTATTTTTAAAGGCACCATCTAGAGGACTTGCTGCTGCTACACGTGATGATGGGGCAATTCTGAACCGATTACTGGCATCCTATGAAGCCTTGCAAGAAGTTGAGCAGGATGATCTTCAGTCCGTAGAGGAACTGTGCTCAGAAACCACTTCCGAGCTAATTTCTGAAAATTACTCATCAGAACTTGGAAATGAACAGATGGCAGATGAACTGGACGATGGTAAGATAATAAGCAGTTGTTTCTTTCTCGTGCTGCATAGAAATAATTTAGTAAAGCTATTCATTTTCTGTATCTGATGTTTTCATGGACCAGTATGCGGACAGACAACTTTTCTACGGTCACGCGCTTAAGTTAACTTTATCTGGCAGATGATACGGAATGGGAGCCCATTGAAACGCCAAACAATGAAGTGGTATCTGTCAGGAGTCCAGCAACTGTACTGACGCAAGAGAACTCTGTGGCTGAGTGGCCCGTTCTTTTGTCGAAAGTGACTGCACTAGTTAGTTCGGCTCCTTCTGAGGTATCTTATTCCTTGAGTCTTTGCATTCGAATGTTTCGAGTCATCTTTGTCTGTGCGGCATATTTTTTTAAAATATTAAAGTTTACTAAGCTGTGCATTGTGCAGGTGACCAGCATTGGAGCTGTTTGGGACGCCTTACAACTCACTGAAGACTTGATAAATGTAAAGTCTGCAATCTACTGATGGAATATTTAAAAAAAAAAAAAAAAAAAAAAAAAAAAAAAATCATGGAAGGTTATGCTTACAAGCTGGATCTTGGATCTTGGACCAATATTGTTATGATAAATCCAGAATTATAAGGGCTACTTTTTGAACTTGTTAGATTTTTATTTTTTTATTTTTTTATTTTGTTTATTTTGTTTATTCATGTTCGAGCAAATGTTGGAAGATTCATTTGACATCAAATAACTTTGCGTATGTACCATTTGATTTTGAATGAAACGTCGTTTGGTTGCAGGCTCTGAAGGTCTTGAGACAGGTCGAGAAAACCAAGAGTGTTGATGTAATGCCTTTAGCGAGACTATATACTGGAGTCATGTGTGATCGTGTTACTGAACGTGCAAACTCTTCAAGGTAATGCTTTGCTTAAGATCGGTTGTTTTGCTTGTAGCATTCTTGAGTAGTTATTTAAATCAAGCACTTAGATTCACCTGCCCACGGCACTCGTGATGTTACCTGTGAATATAAGGTTATAGATCTGTCGGATGTTATATAGCATGTTTGACTTAGCCTTTTGCCATATAGTGTTAAAGAAATCCATTTTAGGAGGATTTTTCTCTGAAGTGCTCATTCCATTTCAGGGGACAGGAGTTAGGGCGGTTGGTTACTGCAATAGTAGGCATGGCTGCGAATAATACAGATGGGCGAGTCTCTAAGAGTGATAACAAAGATTGGGAGTGTTTGGCTTTAAGAGTCTTGGCCACTCTCAGCTACAAGCTGAAAGGTCCTGGCAACCACGAACGTTCATTGTGGCCGATACTTTCATCAAATTTGCCTTTTCTTGAGCAGCAGCTTACACGACTTTTGGTTGGAGCTTCAGTTACAGGTACTTCAAGGGGTGCGATGTTAGATTTTGGGTGGAAATTTTACTTCTTTCCTGTGTTCTGAGAATGACCTCCGCGTTCTGAAGAATTATAGTATATCCTCGAATCACTACACTAGTGAGCATACGAAGAAGTAACTGCAAAAGCCTCTGGTTACAGTATATTATAAGTGTATTACGCTTTAGTTGATTGAGAAACTTCTAAGAAAAACCCAAATAAATTTGTTGATTTTGACTTGCATTTGTACGTTTCGTCTATCGTTTGTGCAGCGCCAGCAGAGGAATTGGAGATGGTATTTCGAAGCTTATGCTTCTGGCTGCAGCATGCACCAGGAAATGCATCTGTTGGGTCTTTGCTCATGCAGGTATGATGTTGGTCTTGATTTTTGGCCTTTGTCGAGTGTTTTATTGATCACGTTGAATGCTTTTATCCATAATGGTGGCATGAAGTTATCTGGTGTCTCGAATACAATTTTTTAGTATCCTTTTGAGACGAATTGGAAAAACTATTGGCTTTTCAAGACAATTATGACTTATACGCTGTTGGGATTCTAGAATTTGAAATTTGAATATCTCATGTTTACTTTTGTTTGCCTTTTAATTATCAAGTGTGAGTTTTTCATAGCCGCATGATTTTTAAAGTCATTTCGCTGCCTATGGAATGACTTCGTGGATTGGCTTTTATTTGTGATTGCAGTCTGGTATTCTGAGAACTGCATTGCAAGTGTTCTTGAAAACGGGAACAGAACCACAAATGGAGGCTTTGCGTGAGTTTCTTTTGCTTGCAATGGTAAATGGCTGTCATATCCTATACTAGTCACCCTCTCCGGTCTTTATTTATTTCAACTTGGATTTGCTCTCATCTTAGAGTCTCAAGTTTACATGTCGCAGAATTTGAAGTTGAGAATGTTTCCCACGTGCCTCAATATTGAAAATAGGAATGTATTTCTTGTTTGTACGAATATCATTTCTGTTGCTGATGCTCCTACTTTTAGGCGTACAGTTGCACGTAGCAGTTCTGGCGAACACTTTTGGAAAGATTTTTTCAAGCAGAAGATCCCATCTGCATCCGTGAATTCATTTGGTTTATATGTATTGTCGTGACACAAATTTATGTTCTCATTGTCTTTATCAATGTGCCAGGCTCGTTCAAGGGAGGTAGCACAGTATCTAGTTGAAGTGCCCACCTTTTGGGCTGCCATATCTGACACTAGATTTTTGAGTGAGGATTCGCTGACTAGGTCACATGGATTGGTATGGCCTCTACTGCTGAGGGCAGGAAATCGACAGAGCAAGACACCCGCTCTAGAGCGCTACAATCAAGCAGAAAATGTTCTTAACCATGAAGTCTGCCTAACTGCTGAATTAGGCGATGTCCAGGAATTGGTAAACAATACGCTGGTACTCACGGTAAGTAGGTTTCAATTCTATGTTTGTATGCTGCTATTTTTAGTAACCGTTGATGAGCATTCTGGGAATTTGACTAATCTAAGAAGGATTAGTTGGATGTCGAATATGTGTGCGTACGAAGTTTTTTTGGCCTTCTATTACAGAAACTCCTTTCGTAACTGAAGTCTCGTTTTCTTGCTTGCAGAGATTACTACGAGTACTTCAGCAGCTTGAAGCAGCTTGCTCAGCATCCTCAGATAAGTTATGGCAAAGAGGCGGTTGCTTAGATAAAGGTCTCACACGTTGCTATACGGCGTTGTGCTCTTTATCTGCCACACTACGTAACCTGGAAGGTCCAAATAAAGGAGGCGATTCTGGTGATGAAGAAAGGAGGACTGAGAAGATTGCGGAATTGTTGTCTAGGATGGTGCCCATGGCAAAGAAGTTGACGGCAATTACCAAGGGTGATGGAAGTTCAAAAGCGGATTGATTGATGTCACTCGATTTAAGCGTGGATAGCTTATAAAGACCACACAAGCAAGATGAAGTATGCCACGTTGGATTGTCTACATACCATCAGGTTACGCTAGGTGATAGATTCTCTTGATCATTCAGTTCTCATGCATTGACCTGCGAGAACGAGTTAGACGTTAGTTGTGAGTCTTGTGATTGAGCACTACGTGACAGTCGTAGTATGTGAGAAGAGCTTGAGGTTGACATCGATGTATTAGATGAATTTCAAACGTTGCGACTACGTATTGTGGTTTGCCATGAAATTAGGTTTAGTTTGGGTAGTGTACGTTCCCACAACTCTCTCCCTCTCTCTCGAGCAGCATACCGTATGCTCTGAATCACCCTTCGTTCTCCCTTTTTCTCCTCTCCGATTTGGTTGTCCGGTTACACAAGAAGTTTTTTGCAAAATTGGATTTAGAGTGAAGGTATGACGAAAAGCACATCTTATCCAACCTGTGTTCAAGTCGAAACCCATGGATATCAATTTCATCTTTTCCGGAAAATCAAGCCCGAGTATCGCATCGTGTGTCTTCAAATTTGGTTTCTACGACATTTTTCTTGATTGACGTCCTTTTTTTCATCGACTGCCCAGCCAGCACTCAATTTGGGTCTAGTGAGTTCACTTGCTGGAATCATAAGCCAGTTAATGGCAATTTTCTCGTTGTCCAAGTTTCATTGGATGTACCACTTATGTAGTTCATGACCACGTTGGCCTGGATTTTCCAAGGAGAGGAGACATTCCTGGCTGGAACGATTGCTGGATTGGTATCTCTTTAACCCAGGACCCACGATTGGGCCTTTGCTTTGGCAATCATGCAAGGGGGGTCCTAGCAGGGGCTGGGCTAAACTTATTATCAGTGGGACCCCTTTGAGATGACAATTGTGCTGTACACTGAGATGGAGGGATAGCAACTTCTTCTTCTTTTTTCTTTTTTTTTCTTTTTTTTTTTTTTTTTTTTTGCTTTGATTAAACCATTCCCTTGAAGCTTCACAAGGCTGCATATAATGCCCCCCTCCCTCAGTGGCAGGGTTGCCCTTTGAAGGCCAAAAACAAATACAAAAAAATACAAAAATGATGCTCACAATGACGGTTATATGGAGTGGATGGTCCCTAAACTTATGCATAGTGCTTGTCATTATTTGAGGACAGCTTGTGATGTTGAGGCAGGGCATTAAATGCTGCTCCTCATTGCAGCAGCAGCAGCAGCAGGCCCCCCTTCCCTTCTGCATTCCCATGTCATTGTACATCATGAAGGTCCAACTCTTCCAGCCCTAATTCCAACACATCATGTAAGTAACTCTGTAAACAACACTCTCTGACTCTCTGAAACATTGCTCTCTCTCTTCTCCGTGTCCTGAAGGGTGGGTAAATTTTATAACAGGAAAATCATGCAACTATCATCATCTGTTACTTTTAAGAAAGGGGGGGGGGAAGTAGGTGTTGTGAAGGGCAGTTGCAACTCTGGTCTCAAATCACAACATCAATCATGCAATCATCGTCTAAGTTTTTAATGTTGACCTCCTCACTCTCACCCCCTTTGCATACAATCTGAGAAGATTGATCAGTTTCTCCATCATTGCTCATGTGCTCAGACACACACACACACACACAGAGTGACACAGAGAGACAAAGAGAGAGAGACATTTTTTTAACTTTATGAAGGACCTCAGTGTGGACTTTCTTATTAAACTCCACTGGTTCCAGACACTGCTGACAAATTTGGGGACAACTTTGTTTCTGGGTGTTCAGGTTGACTTCTTTAGTTTTGCGCCAATTGGGTAATATCATTTGCCATTCCAAATTGTGTGAAGCCAAGCCAAAGAAGTCTCCTTCCAATGGACAAATGTTTAGCCAAATAGTTAGATTTCTTTTTATTTTTTGGGTCAGTGACAATTTGAAGATCTTCAGCCAAAATCCTAAGCAGTCCTTTAGATTGGTCTTCATTGTCCAGGCTACCTTGACCATAACAGGCTAAAAACATCTTTGCCATTTCCAAGTTATGGTTTTAGGGTTTAGAAACCTTCTTTGTTGACTGTGATGAATTCATTGTCTCCACCATGTTCTCACACACACACACATATATATATATATATATATATATACACATGTGTTCATATGTATAGGTAACTTGGGGGGTGAATGAGTCTCTTTCTGGATGCAGATGCTGGTGGGATTTTCTTTGCCAGTATTGTCCAAGTACAGACACAAAAAATGGCAAGAATTTGTGTATGTATTTGGGGGGTTTTTGCATGTCTCTATCCCACATGCGGACACAAGAGTGGGATTTTGTTTTGCAAAAGGTCTGTTTCAATGTAAGCAGCCAAATTTGATTGATTGTGGACAAATCCAGACAACCTCTCTCTCTTTCACACATCCCCCCAAACAAAGAAGGAAAAAAAAAATTATAAAATAATAAAGAAAGAAAGGAAGAAAGAAAGAAAGAGGAGATAGTGGGGGTTTTACCATACAAACCAAGACACCATGTTTTAAGCCATCATTACATCAAAATCTATCCCCTCATATTAATTGCATGAATCATATAATGTACACCTTGAATGCATCAAAAACATGTGGTCAAAGGTGAATTGCCAACTCCCCTCCCCTCTTAATTCATTGTTGTTGTTGTCGTTATTATTTTAATTATCATTTTTTGAAAAAGTTTGTACAACTCACAGTCAATTTCCTTCCCAAAGTTGAAACAAAATACAAATAGTTTCAAGTATTCTTTTCAATCATTTATCAACCACTATTTAGCAATATTAGTGACAAGCAATTCACCTTTCCAAAAGATTCTTTATAAAACATTTAACCAAAAAAGTGGCAGGAATTCTTTCTATTGAATGGTTTATATTATTCGTCTTCTTTTTCCATGTTTTCTTTAAGTTCCTTCATTGGTGAGTGTGTGAGTGTATGGGAATGGGACCACCAAGTCCCTTAGAAGGACAAATCATGCAAAATATGTCCACTAGGGTGCCTCTCAACTCCCCTCCTTTCACAAGGGATGGATGAATGAATGAATGGACGAATGAATGGATGGACGAATGAATGGATGAATGAAAATCCCAATGACCTCCCCTTCCCTTCCTCCCCTTCACTTTATTAGTACATGCACATTAATGGCCGGAACTGACCTCGACTCCTGCTTTTGCCCCTTCCCCCATTTGGGTCATCATGCCCGTTCTGACAGTGGAATGCATCATCTTATTTAACAATGTGGCATCATTGCCATGGCTGTCCGAGGACCCCCCCCCCCTCCCCCACTCGGCCTTTTTTTTAATATCATTATTCACTTGGAAATTGATGTTTTTTTTTTGTGAATTGACTTTTTGTGCCTAAGAGAGTGTGGTTCACGAATTTTTTTTATTTTTTATTTATTATTTATTATTTACATTGCAAATGAGTCCATGTCCTGCAAAAAGTCATTGTTTGTAGCTCATAATAGTTAAGGACATTGTTTTTTGTTTTTTTTTAAAAGGATGCAAGAGTGAGACTAAAAATGTATGTATATATGTATGTATGTATGTGATTAATTGGATAAAAGAGTTATTATAGAACTGACACAGTTTATGAAATTTCTCTACTCTCATACTTTGTGAATTGTAGAATGAGATTTGAAAAAAGAAAAGAAAAGAAAAGAAAATAAATACACACTACTGATTTTACATTCTTATTATTGATATTAAGAAGTTATATATAGAAAAGATTAATGGATTCTAACATATAAAGGCTACTAAGCAAAGAACTTATCACAAAGTACAATCTTTGTGTACTAACAAATAGGTGATTGTCTTTACATACATACATAGTTTAAAAATGATTTTAAAAATGATTTTTAAAATGATAATTAAGTATTATAAAAGATTGTTGCAATTATACGTAATTCTTTAAAAATAAATTTAAAAATAGGTGTATATTGTTCTGTAATAGTGAATTTGTAATAAATTAACCTAAAGTCAAAATATAATTGGTAAAAATAGATCCACACTATAAACACTAATGTTTTTACAGAATTTTAAAGCTCTTACGGTAGCTAAAGGCAAATATTGTGGATTCTTTTTGTCTTCTATTTAGGTCATTCCAAAGAGAATTACTTGTTTTTATTTCTAATCATGTAATTGGTACAAAGTACGTTTTTTATGAGTGAAAGTGTTAAAAACTATTGGATACGTAAGTACAAATGGATGTGAAATATTAATTATTTACTACATGCCAAAGTGTGGTCATGGAGTGTCATTGTTATTTGTATCTTGTTTTTCTTTGTAAAACGTTATTAGCTGTAAATAATGTTTTTGAAACTTGAGAAAAATAATGGTGGCAATAAAGAAAACACGTTTAGAATAGGACAAAACTAAGAAAAAAGAAAACAAAGAATTTTCTTGAAAAAATAGAGCTCTAAAATTTCTATAACGTTATATACAAGGAAGTTCCTTAAAATCCTTAAAATAAAAATAAAATAAATGTCTTTATATATATATATATATATATATATATTTCATTTTACTAGTATTATTTTTTGTTAAGATAAAATTCGAAATATGTTTTAAAATGTTTTTTAAAATATTACGTTCAGGGTCCTATTTAAGAGGGTATCAAAAGTTTTGTTCGGAACTTTTGTATTTGCGTGTCTTTTATTAGAAAGTATACAATTTTAAACTTATTCATATGTATTCAGTTAAAATTTATTCTAAATTTTTAAGTATATGTTACTTATAATTCTTTTTAGAAAAGGCTTGTAATAATAAAAAACCAAAAGTATTTTTGATAATATTCTTTTAAAATACAAAAGTTGACTGCTTGAAGAAAAAAAAGTTTCATTACATTGATTAAGAGGTTGCAAAGTTATTTCATAAAACACCTCATCATATATATATATATATATATATATATAATATTAGTAGGTGGATAAATTACATCAATGCTTTCTTGCATACAAAAAGTTGTTATTTTTTATTATTGTTGTTTAAATTTTTTATTATAGGTTATTGCACAGTGTTATAGGATGTTCTTTTGTGGCAAAAAAATGATTGGTGATTATAACAATGACACCTTGCTATTTAGATAGGAGTGAGTTTTCCGTCTCACTTTAATTAAATAAAGAGAAGTTGGATAATCCTAGAAAAAACCATAGAAGTATGAGATTCTAAAATTTCAAAAACAATATTTGGAGTTGCAAATTAGTGCATATGAATGATACATCTTATATTAGCAAAAAGCTTCATAATAAATTTTAGCAATCCGTATTATCTTTGTTTTATATAATAACTTCATCAAAAACTATTAATGTATATGTTGTTCTTTGATATCTATTTAGTAGATAGATAGACTAATTTAACTATTGATTACAATTGCAATAGTTTGATCAGTGTTGAAAAATAGTTTTGATTTTAGTTATAAAATACTTTGATATAGTTCCAGTAAAAGATATAATTATTTTAAATATATTAATGATTATTAAATATACATAAATTATATTTTTTTGTTTTTAGTTTACAATATATATATAAGA